CCCCCTCACCAGCTCCGAGCCACCCAGCCCGCTCAGATGGGGTTGCGGAGGCACAGCCAGGCAGCGCAGGAGCTCCCAGCATTTTTGGAGAGCTGCTGTAGAGCAGCCAACAGCGCTGGGCACCCCGTTCCAGGGCAGACAGGCACGGGGTGTTTCAGACAAGGCATGGTTCCTTCCCCCTTTGTGGTTTTGGGACAGCGTGGCAGGAAGCTACCCGTCTCCAAAACTACACCAAAGGAGCTTCGGGCGTTTGCAGCCGCTAAGGATCACACATTGCACTTTTCAGCATTAATTTGTACATGCTGGCCAGCAACAGCAGGAACTGGTTTTCTTTCCTAAATTGTTCCTGTCCCTTGAGTACGTGGTGACAGGGACCATGTTAGCATTGCACTCATCCACTGCTCAGGACCTGTTGTCATCACCTGTAAGCCTAAAGCCACCAAACTATTCCACAGGACATGGGGGCTGCTTTGTTTTAGGCATGAGCAGAGCTGCACTGCGCTTGTTTGAATCATGTCCAATATTTCCTGCAATAAGTAAAATGGGTTTATTCACAAAACAAAGTTTTTCTTGCACTTACCACATTTAGCTTCCACTAAGGGAGGTAACAAACCCCTTTTCCTTACATGCACTACAAACACTAGGAAGCAAGTACCCTGACAAAGGGTAACTGCCCTCTCTTCCAGAGACCTTATATGAGAGGAGCTAGATCCACCACTAAGAGCCAAAAGAGAATAGTATTCAAAGTGGGCTTTTTCATGCATTCCTCCTCTTGTAAGCTGTTTCAGTGCTGTTAAAAACATTACACAGCTCTCCTGTTTAAAAGCCACGTTGATCCTTTCAACCTTTAGGACTCCTCTATTGAAAATGCCAAGTTATATGTAAGAAAGGTCAGGTCAGATGCATGCAATTAGTAATATTATTGCAGACTTTTTTTTTATAGTAACTTTAGCTTCATAAGAAAAGCCTCAGAGCAGACCACAGGCTCTCTAAGGCCCATTCTCACTGAAGCTAGTTGCCTTTCCTTCTGCATGGGGCAGTAAGCTCCACAGGACTTTGCACGCTCACAGTAGACTGAGAGGCCAGGTCTTTCCTTCCAGACAACGTTAATTTATTAGCACGTTCATTTTTTCAGTGCAGCAGTTAGTTCTGTTGCCTTCCTTACTGCTGGCACACACGTACACATCCCACAACCCATCGTAACACCGCAACAGCGCTCACATCATCTTCACCAGACAGGAGAGGCAGCCTCAGCCCTCAGTCAGCTTATTTTCCAGGGTAATACCCTGATAAGGCAAGCATGAAGCAAGCCAGGTGGGGAAAGAAGGAAATTAGCTACCTATTTTTATATAGAGAAGCAGGTGTCCCAGCTCATTTTGGAGCTGATGTTCTGGAGAGACAGCACAGACCTGCGCTGGGGCAAACAGATACCAGAAGGAACCGACTGCTGTTTCAGGCAGGCCAAGCTTCCTTCCCCTCCTTCGCGGCCAGACAGCTTTTGCAGAGGCTGCAGGTGTTTTGCAAACCCGTCACAAGCTCACAGGTTAGGAGTGCTCAACAGCAGCACCAGGCTCTATAAAAAGCAGCCTGCAGAGCCCTCTTACTACAACACAGGCTATGATTAAATTTGCATGCAGGCAACAGCTTTTGGGGAGAAAAATCTAAGCAGTAAATCTAGCCAGAAGCTAAAATGAATTGCTAGCAAGTCACTCACACCTGCAACAGAGCTGACCACATCTACTTTTCATCAGCAAAACAGACTACCTAAGAAAGGTCAACAGATACTCTTTAAGATCAGACTGTTGAAAGATTTAAGCCCTTGAACTCATTAGCATTATGCCTCAGAACATCTGAATAAAATGAGCTTTCTGCCTGAACAATACCTAGGCCAGGGCTGTCGCCTTGTGTAAAAGGACTTCTAAAGAAGGTTTCTTTCAGATATGTTCTTACCATTTAATGCAGTCACCCTCTGTGTAACTGAGAATGACCCTGAACAGGGCAGGTGGAAGCAGGTCTCTCTCCATCACCTTTGGTTTTGCTGCTGCTGCTATTTGTAAGCTCTTTATGCTTGCAGAAATTAACCTGAGACGGAGTTTCTTAAAATACTAGCTACAAGTAACTGCAAGTTTTCTAAAACTTCATCTCTGTGGAAACATTATTCCACTCAGGCAGGCTAAACAACAGATAGATAGATGCACTAAGTGACCCTGAACTGCCTCCTGCTCCTTAACAGATCGTTTCAGTGTCAATTCAATCAACTTACATTTTCAGTTTTTATCCTAAGTGTGTCCAAGCACAGCTGAAGCATTTTGATTTTTACTCAGGGCACAGGTGGTACTTCACAAACAATTAGGAAGCAATTTAGAAAGCAATGAATCTCTCCTCTGAAGACTGAGGTCCAGATTTATTCCTGATTGAGTTTAAGAGTATTTCAGATACGTGCCATAGAGCAGAGCCCCCGACGTTGCGCTGCGCTCCCCGGCAGCTCCACGCTCGCTCACAGCCAGGGAACAGAGCGGAGATTCTTTGCGGTGAGAGTGGCGGCGACCCGATGAGTCACGGGAGCCAGTGCTGGCAGGAGACCGGCTGCAGGCACAAACAAGTAGCTCAGATTTCATCAAATGAAAGGCAGTAAACAGCCAAGAGACTTTCTAATATTTACTACAATAATTTGCTGGGGGGGGAGGAAGCAGTACTCTCTTTTCCAGCTGTACTTCCTAACAGAACCAGGCATTCTTCTATTAGTTCAGGCAAATTACAGGAAAATACAAAAATCACAATGTGATCCATAATCTGCTTCAATTTAAACATTAACCAGCAACTATGATAACTACAGTTTCATTTGCATTAAGAGATTAGCTAAAGTGTATCCCCTGGGGGAAAAGCCCCACATAAATACAAGGTTTCTGCATGTCATTTTCATAATCTGCCTGTTAGAGACCTTAAAAGCCCTGCTGCAAACTCAACGCTCATTAATCCACTCACCCATTTTGTTAAACTTTATTTTAACCAGTGTAACAGTGCTTGACCCTCTCAGATTATTCATTAGCTACCGGAAATTCAGCTGCATCAAACCTGAAAGGAAAAGTCTAATATACTTTAAGATAACAAGAGCAGTTTTGGTGATGAGGCTAAAATTAGTAGGCTTCAATTAAAACCTTCAGAAGAGAGACTTTTCTCTCTTCTTTAGTATTTCCAGCCAATGAACTACAAAATACCAGTGAATACTGTGCAAAACATGAACTCAGCTAAAGCAAACAGATAATTATTTCTTCAGAACAGCAACTTCTACAAAGCAGAAGCTGACTGCAGAGCCTTGAAAGGTACACACTGCAGGCACTGCTGCTGCTTTCCATTTCACTGTAAATGGAAAGCTTATCAAAAAAAAGAGCAGGTTAAGTCTACCACAAACACAAAAAAGTACATCAAATATAGAGACTGACTGTATTTAATCACTGTTTTAAGATCTTAAGAGTGTAGAAGCTTTGGGAAAAGTACTAAGTTACTCCCCAGTTTGGTACCACAAGAAGCCTGATGGGGCCCAGCACCGAGCAGGCAGCGCTGGGGCTGGCTGCCCGGCACCCCTGGGGCATCCTCCAGCCCCTTCCAGAGGCTCTTGCTGACGTCCGTTCAACAAAAGCCAAACTTTGCAACACACTTGGTGATCCTTGTTTTAAACAGTTACCCGAATGCGTAAATTGCTTCTAAATCCATAACAACATTTAATTCCAATCTAGTCTTCAATCTCTTCCTGTATGCTTACACTCCCAGGTTATTAATCCCTCTTGACAGTGAATAAACTTGCTGCTAAAATACTTGTCAAGATAAAAAACAGCTGCCCTATTTTTTGTCACCCTTGAAGACCCGCAGTTAAAGAAAACTAAACACATGGGCTTGAAGCTACACTGTATATTTGTAGATAAAATAATTTGACAGAACAAGATTACAAAGTACGAAACGAGCCCTTTCAGGAATTTGTGAATACAAGTGAAGTAGATGTTAAATCCATTTCATAAGCTTTTAAACAAATACCACTGAGGGACAGGAGTATTACCATAAAACAGTACTTTTTTTTTTTTTTAAACGCTTTCTCAAAAAACTTGGACCATATACATCAATTTCAGATGAAAAATCCCACATGCACACATTGGTTTGGTTACAGCTTCAGGAATCAGTGCAGCACAGTGCAAGTTTCATTCACAGATAGAGACATTTGAAGTAGGTACAAAAACATTCTGCAAAATATGTGATCTAACTCTTGGCAGCCCTCCTCCCACCCCCTAAAAAGTGCTGAAAAATAAGCACAACATACAGAAACAGAGGGGAAAGTACACTGGGAGATGGAGTCTTTAACAAGACAAGTTAATATTTGACACTTTAAGAAAAAAGAAACAATTGCATCAGGAAGAAAAGTATTATTAGTCATTAGGAGGTATGTACAAGGGAGGTTTGTACTTCTATTCTGTAGAAAAACTGAAGCTGACAAGTCTCCATTCCTGAAATATAAATATTGAGTGAGGTACAGAAAGTAAGCACTATTAACTGAAAGTGCCATCTGAGAAGAACCTGTTTTCCCCTGGTGAAGGTCACCATTCCCTCATCTTTCAAGGAATAAGTATATGTAACTACTTATTTCAGCTATTATTTGAGTATATACAATTGTTTATTGCTTATCTGGCAGTTCCACAGAATCTTCCTGGTCCCTAGTTCCCAGCAGAAAGCATTTTCCCCTTTTTATGTTTATTTCAAAGTCAATCAAATACTCTTCAGTGCTTTGAAAAAAACCCCTTATTTTAGAAATTGTCCAAGCTAAAAATATTAACACAATTTTCACCTGAAGCAATGCACTGCAGACTATTAATGCAGAATGCCTCCCTTAAAGACACTAAGTGCATCTTTACCTACCCAAAATCTCAGAGGGCTACAGCTTTGAAGTGCTCTGCTAATTTTTATATAAAAAATTATGACTGACATTTACAGCATACAGAATGGGAGACTAGTGCAATATGCAGCATTGATTGTTTATTCAATAAATATTTAACCCAATCATTGCCAACCAAGGCAAACAGTGCAGAAATTGTCGCTTAGAGATACAAAAGTTTAACATTGTTTGTATAAAGTCAGTTGCTAATATATTCATACAACTATTTCAAAGAGGTCTTTCTGCTTCAATATTGCCACTACTATTATAAAAACACAGAAACTTAGTATTTGGGGGTTTAACATGTCTTTGAAAGTCTAACTTTTACATTTATATGGGAACATGACATTTCTGAATTCAAGAAGTATTAAAAATAAAAATGAATACTATGGTAGAGACATTGTCTGCACTGACTATTTCACTGTAGTTCTTAAATACATCCTTCTTGGTCCTAGGTATACATTTAGAATGAAATAACTTGCATCTCACATTTATCCTGAGGTCAGCTGTGTAAAAAGGAAGCCAGTTCTATAAGGATACTTGCAGGCTTTTTGTTGAAAAGATGAGGTTATTTTTAAACAAGCCAATAAAACTCCCAGGGAAAAAAAAAAAAAAAAACAACCCTCCCACCAATGTTTTCAGAAATAATTTAGTGTCATTTTGGGGAATTATTTAAAAAAATATATAGGCCATCACATCCAAATGCTTTATCACCCAACTAAAATTTCAGTATGCAGTTAACAAACATGAAACTTAGAAACTGTTCGGAAAAGAAAACGTATAAATCCCCACAAAGAGTCAGCCTAAGCTTCTCATCTCAAGATCCCAACCCACGACGCACCTCCTAAAAGGAGAACCCCGTCGAAGCCTGTGGGAATCTGCGGAGTCTCTGAGTCTGCCTGCACGGGTGAGGATGTGTGATTGGGGTCTCCGTCACCCACCACGGGGTACAGCTACGGCCCTGTCAAAGCTCCACTTTGAACACAGCAGTTATTATCAATAGCACCAACAATCTCCCAGATACCAGCATCAGGCAAATACACACAACATAGAATAGGTTTGTTTCTTCCTGAATCAGCACAATTGGTACAAGGCACTGCTTGGCATAGGAAGTCATAAATAAGAGCAAAACAAGACAATTTCCAAGATTTGTGACATTTAAGTTTGTAAATTACGTCACATTTCAACCTATTATATGATGGTTAGAAAAACAAGATCATCTAAGGGATTAACCAAAACATCACCTTTCCATGCATGCTTACAGTTTTTCTCCCCACATCCGAAAAAAAACACTTAACAACGTAGCAATATGAAGCCTTAGAAAGTATGGGTTGTTAAATTAAGAAAGTACATTTTATTCTCCAATCTTCCACAAACGTCTAACCTAGACACAGCTCAAGTATAAGAAGTTGGAAAATATTCTGGTAACATTTGCAACAGTCTATCCCTGCAGAGGAGTGAAAAAACTATTGCCTAGAGAATTCATCGATTGAGGCACATCGCAATTGAAGATATTCAGGCATATTTTATGGCTAGAACAGGATTTTTCTGAGGAGCCTCACTACAGACTTCCCCAAGAGCAGCTCCATACGGTTTGAAACACAAATTGCAACACATGGAAAAAACAGTTGGCCCTTAATCGCTACTGTCTTCATCGTCATCATCGTCAGATACGTCATTTAAAGATGATTTCGGTGACTGGCTGTAGGAGTCTGACCTGGTGGACTGACAAGCAGTCATCTCCCCGGTAGAAAGAAGATCATAGCAGAAGTCGCAGATTCGCACAGGCTTGGAAGACTGGCTCGGGAGAAGAAACCTCTTTTCAGAGCAAGGCCCACACACAACAAAGCCACACTTGCGACAGTGGTGACGACGGTTGACGGGTGTAAATTTTGCTTTCTGACAGCGCATGCACACTGTGGCTTCCGAGTCTGGTACCCAGACAGCTGCATGTTCATTGCTAGGAGTCTTCCCGCTTTTGGAAAGCAAATCAGACACACACTTATTTATGTGGTTCATCCACTCAGACTTCTCTGTAGCAGTGGCAGCATAAACTGCAAAAGACTTTGTGGGTGTTTTGATTAGCCACCCGTTCCGTAAGTCTCCCTCATCCTGGATGGAATCAATAGTGACGTTCTCCAGTGGGATTATGTGCTGTTTATTGTATTTCTTCTTCTGGATGACAATGTTACCGTAAACAAGAATGTCATTGAACAGGAAAAACTGCCTCGCTTTGGGCTTCTTCCTACACAGCTTTGTTAGTACTCCCTCTCCAATCAGAACACGACCAGGAATAGTCAGAGGTTGACCAGCTGCTCCAAAGCAGTTTTCCACTATACTTATTCTTCTAGTATTTGCCTCACTGTTTGCCAAGCGATCCACCATCTTTCACAAGTAACCTAAAATTAGAAAAAAAAAAAGTTTGTTGTTAGAACAGGTCTGATTCAACAGCAGTCATCCCCAAGGAAAGTACCAACCCCGCATTTCTTAAAATAACTAGCAGAATCTGCTGGCTCAGAGGCATCAACTTGGGCTAGATTTAAATAAAGTATTAACACCTAAGAATTTTTAGCAACTGATTAGTCTTTTTTTCAAAAGCAAAATGTTCCATCCAGCTGACAGCTATCTTGATCACACAGACAGCACCTATAGCAGTGTTCTTGAGAGCCTCTGGCAACAGACTAGGAGGCTTCCTCTCTAGTAAGGTTACTGTATCCTGGTTTAATGCTCATTTTTCTCTGTATATCCTCCTCCATCTACTCTCTGGATGCCAAAAGAAAATATCATCCATAATTCCAAATTCTAATATTGACAGAACCATCAACTGAGCAGCTTGGAGACGCATGTCAGTGTTAACATGCCAAACAAAAATTATATAATTGACATTCACACAGGAAACCACCATCCCCAAGCTCAGTATTGTTCTATTTTCAGTACGTACACCTTAAATCATGGGCCAAAACTATGAATATACCTACTAGACACATTTTGTACAGGCCACAGCTTGTACCACCCACCACCTGCTTTCATGGCAAATTCTTGAGCCAGGAGTAGGGAGCGAGTCACGGCTGGTGGCCTGCTTGCTGCTGCCTTTTTTGCACAGTCCCTCCCTCCTCGCCTACTTGAACCACATCTGCATCCACCATGATCAGGCAACATACACAGGCAGACCAGCACAGGGGACAACGCCCACAGCTCACAACTGCTCCTGAGAAAGACTAAGCGACCTGCACCTGCTGAAAGTTTAGGCAAGGCGGCTTTGTATTTCAGGAAGTTCTGATGAACATCATATGTTCCAAATACGTATGTATTAAAACCACCCCTCATCCCTTCCCAAGCAGCAAATAAGATTTTATCTTGTAAGGGTAAGATTCCTAAGGCATCCAATCAGGAACTGAAAATAAGAAGTCACTCTAGTGATTCACACCTCGGCAAACCACGCTTCAGCCTATCTTATACCCTAGAGCTTCCTGGGCAGAAGTCAGGCAAAAGAAACTCCTGCCAGTCTAATTCAGATCTCTCTCCGCAAGCTCCTCCAGAGTACTTGAACAGTGTGCTCGACGGAGCCGTGAGACAGCTGGCAGATGCAAGTACCAAGGACAGCCCTGTGTCTCAGCACGCAGAGGACGGCTCTCCAGCACCTTCCCTTCCAGCTACCGCGGGGCTGATGCTCACAGCACCCTTTGGCACAACCACTGCTTTGAACAGGCCTGAAGGAAAGCAGAGTACCAAATACTCCAGTGCCTACTACCTGTGCTTCTCAACACAATCCCAGTTTGGGGAAGTTCTCTGTATTCACTTGCCTTTTCTTTTAGATCTACACCGCCTGCCATCAATGCAGCATCAGCCTATAACAGAGATGAGACGAAACCGGGCTGAAACAAGGCTCAGACTTGATGCTGCTCAGACGCTGTCGCTCTGCCATAAGCTGATCTTCTTCCTATGAATCAAAACTCAGATTCATCCCTATTTGGTAAGGAGGCAACTTCCTGATAGAAATTCGGTGGCAGAGAAACCTCTCATCAGACCTCATCTAAATAAGTATGCTACCCCTGATTACAGAAATCCACATGCCCAATGTTAAGTGTGATTAAAAAAAATAACTTGGAAGTTACTGCTTTGAGAGTTTAATTAGTTCCACACTAAAACAGTCTGACAAGCAGGCTTGCTCAGATATAACTAAATTTACCTTTTTTTAAACTCTGCACACAACATTATTTTGTATCAAAGTCTGACACTGAAGACAGAAGAATCTATTAAAGACATTACTCAGCACTGCTTTTGAATTTTCTTTATGTGCGTTACAGCATTAGTTACAATATGCGAGTACTGTGTTAACCAGTTTTGTGGTTAGCGGAATTACAAAGCCACTGAATTTGAAATTATTTTGATCTACAGAAGGACAAGACAAAAAACAAACTCCCTTATAAAATGGGTTCAGGAGATTTAATTGTCCTGCATCAAGGCACACAAGCAAGTACCTCTATGCTATTTCCACCAGTATCTGTCAAAGAAAAAAGGGCTGACCTCCTCCATTACCCTGTCCAGTGGCTCCCCATTTGATCAGTTAAACTTAGTTTTAAGAAAATACTTTCTAAGTCATCTTTGCTGAAAAAAAAACAAAACAGTATTTTTTTGTTCTTCAATCAGAATAACCATCTCTACCTTCTTTATTAAGCTTCCCAAGAACTGAAATGCTTGTCACCTATCTCTAGAGAAAAGACTGGGTGTCCAAGCAGAAGCAAAAAAACAACAGAAATCCTCCTGTATCCCCCCTGTTACTTCCACCTCCTTCACCAGCCCTACCTTCTGAACCACTACTCTTGTCAAGGTTCTCAAAGCTTTGTCCATCATTCCCTTTAAAAAATGCCCACACGTGGACACTGTACTAAATCCCTAAATCCTTCTGCAACACCAAACTTAACCGATACGGTGGTTCTTTGTTTCCTTCTGTGGTGATACCAATTTATGCTATCTGCCTCCCTCCCTGCTTCCTTGTGCCATTACAAAAGCTACACAGTGAATTAGATCAGGGCTGACCAAGTTGAGAACAAACTGGAGAGTTTTAGGGCTCAGGTTTGCAGGCTAGCTGCTCTAAAGGGAGATGATGGAGAGATGGGAAGGGAGGTGCTCAGACAATGCCCTGCATAGTAAGTACATATACTGATCAGTAAACAGAAGTATTCTAGTTTGTGGGTTTTTTCTCTCCCAGAGAACAGTAGAAGACTCAAATTACATTGCTATGGTGATTTTTTTTTTTTTTTTAATGCTATGACTATACAGGTATATCCAAACTATACCTTTCAACAGACACCTTATCTGTTTCAGGCATTCCAAGCACCAATGCTAACCTACACATTTCTTCCCCACCCCACCAACTCCCCCCCCCCTTTTTTTTTTTTTTAATATACACCTTCCAACTACTTACTACTATACGGCAAGGAGGCACAACACTGGCGCTTGGGAGTAACTTTTTCAGGTAAGTGATTGGCTTCACTTCTACTACAGGCCTGTCTAATGCAGAGGTGCCACTCCACAGAAATGCTGTTGACTTCTCCCAACTATTATCTCTCTCTATCAAGGTGAAAATACTAAGGAAAGAATGTGAAAGATAAACTATGAACTTTTTGATGTGTATTTGCTGTAGTCCTAGGCTCAAAAATCAAATTCAGGTGACTGACTGCCAAAGCCCAGGATTTGGAATGAGGGCTAATTGCTTTTAACTGACAAATAACCATTCCCCTCTAACATCATCCTAGCAATAATCAGACTTTGCAAGTACCAAAGCTGAATCAACAGCTGTTTTGAACTTAGAAAGCAAGCAATCAGTCACAGGGTCAGTCTGAAGTTTAGTAATGCCATGTTCCTTGTGAAGTGGGCAAGGAAGTCAGTCAGCAGAGTGCAAAGGGGACAAACCAGAATAATACAATTTTCTGTAGGCACAAATCAATATGTACTACTTCTAAATTTACACTTTTATATTAATTATGTGCAAATTACAGCAAGTTACATGCTTTTGATAGTCCACAAGGGGGACCCCTTTCCCCCTCGAAAAAAACCCACCCACAATCATACAGAGGAGTTTCAGTGCAGCAAGCTCTTGGTGTGAAGGAAGCTACAGGGACCTGTAGGAAGCACTCAGTGCTCCACAACTCCAACTCATCACGCTTTGCACTCCCTGCCAATAAACAGCAAACTCAGTTCAAGGTCACCATGAAAGCTTTCAAAATACAAGTCACCCGGAAAAGAAAACGGGGATAAAAGGCTAAAGGTTTTAATTAACTGTTCTCTAGGATGACCCAAGAGAAAACAACTCTAACCAGGATCATTTAATAATCATCATGGCTTGAAACCAAGACACATGACTCCAGAACTTGTGCTGAAGACAGTACTATCAGCTTGTTGTAAAAATACTGGATTTAAAGCAAGAATCCAGGGCAAGTTAAAGACCATGAAGACAGACAAGACAATAAAATCTCTTCTAGACTGAAACTTTCATCTGTAATGTTCAACAAATTCTCACCTATCAGCCTCAATTAAGGTAGTAAAAGCCACAGACAGATTATTCTACCTTTCTAGGGCATGAATTGTGTTTTCCTACACTAATAAATTCGACTATTTAAAATAAGCACTCTGACATTGTTTTCATCAGTTTTTAGAGAACTAAAAATTAAAAATCCATCTGAAATCCTATGCATGCTGATACTCATTCATCTTCACTAGCCTTTTCTGAGAAAGAAAGTAAGTTCAGAAATGGATGAGAACCTGCTCAGAAAGTATCATGATTACAAATGATAATGAAACATAGAAAAAAATAGACTAGGAATACATAAGAGAAGTCATCCCTAAGTCACAAGAGGTAAAGTTAAGAGAAGAGGTGCACCTCTTCTTATGAGCACAGAAGCCAAGGAGAAGTTAAATTAAAATACTGTCTGGACAGAGAAAGGAACTTTTAACCCCAAGATGTCACAGTCCAAAGGCTGTGCAAGGTTATCAATTACCAGCCTTTTAAAGTGACAGCAATCTTTTCTTAATGTATATTCAGATATATTGTAAAAGGTAAGAGATCATACCCTGGATCTGGGTGGCAATATCTTCCTCTCTGCCAGCTAGAACTTTCTTCTGAAGTTTCCACTGTTGGCCACTATAAAAAGCAGATATTGGGCTACTGTCCTCAAAATGCAGGATTTCAAGACCTGAGCAAAGCAACTTCCAAGTGATGGCAAATTGCTGAAAACATGTTCCAAATCTTCCCCAAAGCAAGTGAGGAATAAACCAGAACCATGGGCTTCAAAATGACAGGCCAGACAGCTCCACTTAAGGGGAGAGGAGTGGAAGCATGTTATACGTAGTCTGCGTTTATGAATGCTATGAAGTCAGAAACCTCAAACCTTGTTCA